TACATTGCATGAGTGTGTGTGTGTTAAGGACTTCAAAAATCAGTCATCAATCACACGATTTGTCTTCCATGACCAGGTCTGTGACTTTTATGATTGATTGATGATAACAATTTACTCAATAGCTGTTTTTCGTGTAGTGTTAAATTAGCTCTACAGTTTCAGACACTCATATCTAACATCCACTCTACCTTGCAGGCCTTTCCAGCCTCCACGCCCGAGGCAGTAAACATGTCTGTCCATCAGCGATAACAAGCCTTCTTATAGTGCGCTCAGTTTAAAATGACAGGCCTTTCATTTGTCTGTCGGCCCTCTCCAGCTACATGACTTTAATGGCCCTGACATCATGTAAGCCGGAGCAGCTGGCTGTGTGTGTGCATGTGTGTGTGTACATGGACGGGGAGTTGTTGGTACCTGCATGATGGTGTGGCTCTAATCCATGTTTGTTCTGCTCCAGCACCAGGAGAGAATGCCCCACACACCATGAGGCACACCTGCAGCCTCACTCTCACACACACACACACACACACACACACACACACACACACACACACACACACACACACACACACACACACACACACACACACACACACACACACACACAAAAGTATTCAATACATCCGGTTTGTGCAGAGGTAGGTATTTTATCATCAGAAGCATTGATTGTGATCTTCAAGGAACGTCAAGGCTTGATGTGGGTGAGCGTCAACATACTGTCAGCAGAATTATTATATAGCATCTCAAATAGTCAAAAAATATTCTTAAAGTATATTTAATACACTTGAATGCACATGCTAATGTAGTTTTCTATATAAGTAGTATGGCAGTTTGTGTTATACTAAAACTCTGAAGTTTTGACTATTTTCAAATTCTTTATGCTACCAAAATGTGATACTTTAAAGAAACGTGAAAGTATGTTTGAATTGTAATTTAGAACACACTTGCAATAAACAGTATATTAATCATTTAACTTAACTTGTTTGAACTTGTCGATTAAAAATAAGTAAAACACTTCAAATTGAATCAACTCATTTAGATGTTTTTGTTTTTTTCAACTGTCATGGAAACAGATATTTTACCCATATCCAAAAAGACAGAACCTTAAAATGGTTTATGTCAAAAAGTGTTGGCTGCGTTATTGTTTTACTGTGTATTTTCAGTCAAACCTGCAGAGTCTGACTCTAATGTCTAGGAATTGAGACCTGCATACCAGTCAGTCAGTAGGCAAATCTAAGACAGGGGTAGACAGGAGGGGGAGAGACCACCAACATAGTTGCCAAGCCTATTTAAAACTTTGTGTGAGTGTGTGTGTGTGTGTTTGAACCGTTATCGCTCAACAGCTTTGATATGAGACTGGGTTTGAGCTGAAGTGGAAAGATTTGCACAGTTCGTTTCACAACTTCTCTTATCTACACTGACTGAAGTCATGCCTGATACTAAAATAACTACTGCTACTGTGTGTGTGTGTGTGTGTGTGTGTGTGTGTGTGTGTGTGTGTGTGTGTGTGTGTGTGTGTGTGTAGTAT